ACTGTGTTACATGGATTCTTGGCAAGTGTCAATAAGACTGCTGTTGTTATGCTCGGACACCTTGCTGCTTCTATTCAGGAAGCAAAAGGAAATGGCCTGCATTTTTGGGTTTTTTATTAAGGGTGGTCATTTTTCATTTCTGTTACTTGCATTCTTATAAATCTTTTCAAACTGTGCTTTGGGATACAGGAAATTCTCTTTCTCTTTTTTACTCCTACTGAGTAAAGGCTGATTTGAAGTAACTGGGTAAAATCACACGTTCCATCCTTGCAAGGGTGGCAGTCCCAAAAACCAGAACACAGAGGCATTAACTACTGTTTAACGTAGTTCTCCAAGCTGTCTGCAACTTTGCACATGACAGTTTAGCACAGAGATGTGAAAGAAAGCCCTGTATTTTAGTGATGACTGATGTCCAGCCAAGCTCTCTAGAAAGGTGGTATAGCTGTGAAAAACATACAGATCACAAGAGGGTAATTAAAAATCTTCTTTCCTCAGGCATTTCGGAAGGTTCCTACTGGGTCCAGTGACAGGACCCAAGGGAATGGCCTGAGGTTGTGCCAGGGGAGGTTTAGATTGGATTTTAGAAAAAGGTTCTTCAACCAGAGGTTGTTGGGCACTGGAACAGGTTCCCCAGGAAGTGGCAGCACCAAGCCTGACAGAGTTCAAGAAGCGTTTGGATGATACTCTCAGGCACATGGTGTGACTCTTGGGGATGGTCCCATGCAGGGCTAAGAGTTAGACTCAATGATTCTTGTGGGTGTCTTCCAACTCAGCATATTCTGTGATTCTGTGATTCTGTCATTCTGTGAAATATAGGAGATTACTTTCATTTACAATTTACCACTAATTTGCATGTTTTAAGTGCTACTTATCACTGTGTTTACCCATATTTTTATATGTGACTTTAGACATGCTTACTGTGAGAAGAAATAATCCCCATATGCAACACCTAGATAATCCTTCTAATATGGAAAATCTTTTCCAGTCACTTAAATTTAGCATACATGCAGACCTACCAACTCCAAAAAGAGACATGTGCCTTGCCTGGATTATTGGTAATTAATACAGTCATAACATCCCCTCAGGCAATGCACAATAAGCTAAAATTTCATGGTTCGTAAGCTTGTAGTCACAGCGTAGAACAAACATACAACCAATTTGTATTTAAATGTCCCAGACAGGCAGTTTTTGCCTGGCAAGCTGAAGATGTGTTCAGCTGAGGAAGTGGGGAATCAGAATTGAGGAACATGTTGATGTGACAAAAATTCAAAGGAATTGCAGGATATTCACGACAAAATGCACAGGAAAATGCTCAATCTTCTCCCTGTTCCCTCATCCTTTTTTATAGAGGCACCAGGTATACTACTTTAGTGAAAAATGATAGAAATTCATCACAATGTATGCAATGTATTTGGGCCTAACATGACAAAAAGTAAACAGAACTTTTTCAGCACTTCCTCAATTTGTGTGAATGTGCAGAATTTACTGCTTGCTTGATTTGCCATCTGGATAGGAAGCTAAACAGGTAATTATTGTAAACTAGCACCTGAAAAAGTTATCCTTCTCTAAACATTTTTCATAGAAAAGTCCTTCACAAGTTTATAGTAAAAATTTGCACATGAATTGACACACATTTCATAGCTGATGCTGTGAGAAATAGAAGTTGTTGCCAATATTAAGATGCACAATCAAATGTAAATGCAAACTCCTATTACATTTCTTAAAGAGTGCAAAGCAGTTATTTAAAAGAATACTTTGGTATACAGCTATAAAATTTAATATTCTGTCTGCACAATTTATACATATTCATAAGCTAAAAATATGCATTCCTGAGAACTATTTATTCAACTTTAATAGAGTAGAATTTTTATTTGTAAATATGAGTTTAAAAAGATGCAATTTTAAAATCCCATTACTGTATTTTCCCAAATGCTCTAGGTGTTAATGCTGTTCACCATTTAATTTTTTTTTTTAATTAAAACAGTATTCAGTAGTCTCTGAGCTCTGATTTTGAAGCACAGTATCAAAACTGTCCTTAAGTCACAGGTTAGCTTTTCCATTACCACAAGCAGCTGTGCTGTATACACTTTCTACAAAAAAGCCAAACTCCATGTTAAAGGAATTTTTTTTTTATTTTTGATTGATAGCCACACTGCTATAATTGAGACCATGAACCTCATGGTTCTCATGGTTAGAATCCATATTTCTAGCTCGTATCCACTTGTTTGCATTACTTGTTTCTACCCCATGGTTACACTTTCAGGAAAAACCCCATTTTCTTTATTGTCCTTTATTTTTCTCAGCTAATGGGGTTCTTGTAAATATTCTCTATTTCTATCAACTGCCAAGTAGGTCTTCTTAGCACCTGCTCACTGGTCCTGAAAATTTATTATCAGAATTGTATACATTCTTATTAATAAGGTCGCTGTACAGTATTTTGACAGAGTATTAATATTTTCATCTCTCTGTTGGCAATTATTTACCTACTTCACCCTCACAATACATTTCCCTTTTTTCAGCACAAGGCACTGATGGTTCCTAGACATGGTGCGATCAGCTGACATTCACAGATCTTTATCACCTTCAGTCATTTCGAGAGATGTGCTCTCTCTAAATCTAACATTAAAATTCCAATAATATGTGTTGTGGCCCAAATAATCTGATTTCTGCATGTGCTAAGAACATAGTACTTGTGTCGATTTGCATAGGATTATCAGTTTCAAGGGTCAGGCCAAAGGAAATTTAAGCTCTCTGTATGTAAAGTATTTCTGATAAGAAGTGTAAATTTACAGGGATATCAGGTTTGCCAGGTAAGACTGAACATATGCACTGAATCCAGATGACCTGAGCATCCAAATAACGTAAATGCAAGTCAAAATCAGAGTTGATTCAGGTCATCTGTTGGCAAGGGGATGCAGTTGCTCTATAAAATGTTTAAGGCTACAAAAGAAGTCCCTTCTCTCTGTTTGCAGTTACATGACCTACAAGAAAAAGGATGTACTACTCTCAGGCAAATGTTTCCCAGTTTCACACCATCCATCCCGGGTTTTTAGCCAGCTGCTATGCTATTCCCATTACACTATAGGTTGCTTTGGGGACCCCTGGTGGCCTAGTGGTTAGCATGCAGGACTCTCACCTCTGCGACCCAGGTTCGAATCCCAGCCAGTTCCCCGGGCAGATGGAACCCGTTAGCCCTGTAAGGCCATCCATCTATGAGAAGGTCACTCTACACAAACCTACGTCCTGAGGACCTCACTGCCATTGTCCAAGCGTGCTTGGCCCCGGCAGATGAACCTTAGGATTAAAGGGTGGGCTCAGTTCAGCGCAGGCTGTGTCTCACCAAAAAAATCCATTGCGCAGGCTGGAAAAGTAAAAGACCTTTCCCCAAATCTTCGTTCGCGAAGACTGGCCATTATTATAGGTTGCTTTGCAACCAAGTCAGATTTAACATATTAGTTCAGTTCCTAATGATATTTGGATGTTATCAAAAACACTCCCTCATGATCACATGGAGGAAAACTGTTGACAAGTTTACCTACCTGGCACAGTAAGAGACAGACAGCGATAAAATCTCACCTCACTCTAGAAAGGAGTTAAGGGCAAAATACACTTCTACAACCTGCCCTCCCTAATACTGTCTCAGAGAAGAGTGGACTTAAAAAACCTCTACAAATCCCCATCAAAAGATCAGTTCAACACATCAAATTATAGTGCAAGAAGAAAGAAAAACAAAATAGGAGTAACGGACTAATTAATTAAATCTCATTGCTTAATTTGCTACTGGAAAGCATTTAGGCACAATACGATGGGGCTAAAATTAAGAATCTACTTTTGGAGTACCTTTATGTAAAAAGAAGACATCTGAAATGGATGTTATTTTTTGAAATATTTGAATTCATAAAATGTGAACTGAACACATATTAGAAATCTATCTACAAGGGCACTGTATAAATTCTTAGTCTCATTTGTATCAATAAAAACATAGCAGCATTTCACCAGGTAGGTCTGTCTCCAGTAAAATACTTTAAACTCCCTTCACACTAGGGAGAAACTTGAAACCTTCAGTTACATGGAAATACTGCCAGCTGTCATTCTCTTTAAACACCAAATATGCTCACCTTGATATTCTCAGGAAATTTTCAATTTAATAAACTCTTCGCAAGAGACCAGTGTAAGCTAAAGCAGAAGCCATTATTCATTAAAAACAGATATACTTTTATGAAAAGAGAATGTAGCACTCCACCTAAACATAATCCATAACACAAGAATAAAATAATGCAATTTGAAAAAGTGCTTAGAACAGATAACGACTTGATAATTTGAAACAAAGAAACAGAAGATTAAATAAAATTAAGAGATGGATCACAAGGATACAAAGTAAAACAGAGTTACGCAAATATTTTTCTTGATGAGCTCAATACTGCAATGGAATTTATTTCATTAAATGCCACTTCAGAGTGACATGACTCCATATGTATGTTATAATGGAGAAACCACAACCAGCATTGTTCCCAACACAGAGACACACAGGTCTCTTTCAATTTCTCTCTCTTTAGGCAGAAAGGAACTAATAAAAATTGCAAGACAAATTATCTGTATCTAGGTTTAAAAACAAAGGCTTGGCCAGCGTTTACATCAGTTTTGCTGGGCAATTCATGATGCTGGAGGCCCTACACGTCACTTCCAGAGAAAAAGAATTCAGGATATGTCCTTCAGCCACCATCACACCTCCACACTGCACTAATAGGGAAGGAGGTACTACACAGCACAGCAAAGCATAATGTATACAGGAACGTGTTATAGATCTGCCTGAAAAGATACAGCTCTGGGCCTTCAATTAAGTTTTATTTAATTGTTCGATCAAGAGATTCCCTAAAAGATTATTCTGCAGGAAAGCCTTATTTTGGCAACATTCATAGCATCATATTTTTATAAACCAAAAGTTCTACAAAGAGCCACTGCCACATTCCAGGTCTTAAAACACAATGTCATGTAGTTACCTGCCCCCATTATGAGCCCTGGTGCAGTGTCCTTCGTGTGGACTGTTCCCGACACGTAGGGATTGTCTGCCCACCGGAGATGGAGGTGAAGGTAGCAATCAGGCTTTTGAGGGGGGAAGAAGAAGACAATAGGTTTTACAAATAATGGCTAACAGTTATACTCCTACAATAATGAAAGCCCAGAGAGAGAGAGCAGCTTCAGCAATGTTTGTCTTCACAGAGAAAAAGAATGGCTGTTTCCCATGGCGCCAAATTCCAGTCTGAAATATCAACCTTCACTCTCTAACAAGAATCACTGATGATGTCTGTGCAGTGTGCCATTGTTTCAACAAAAAGATTTCCAAACTCAAAGAAGTTTGTGTGAAATTATTGAATAAAACCCCCTTCCACCAGAATAATTGCTTAAAAATGCTAACTAACAGCAACAAATATTGCACGTTTGTTGGTCCCAGGTAACCGGTAAAATTATGTTTAAGAACAACTGCTTGGACTGAAAATGTCTTTTTTAGTAAAAAGTGGTATGAAAAACAGCTTAATGACTTTTGGTCACATCATCTCTCCTTGCTAAGCAACTTACTATTTCTTGCCCTTTGTGTAGTGGCACTCAAAGGTCATATTGTTCACAGCAACTCCAGCCATGAGCTTTACCAGGAGCAGGCTGCCAGCACCACCTGGGAGCCACTGCCACTGCGATCTTTCCACTCGTCTCGGCTTGATCTGGATCAAGCCCTGCAGACTTGAACCTTGTAGCACAGTCTTGAACTCTTCAAATAGGAACCGGCAGCTCCAGCCTTCCACTTCTGCTACGTGGAGAGGGAACAAAGCTCTGGCAGAGGCAGGACCACAAGCATTTATTTTGCCCACCAATGCAGAGCTTTGAGTACCCAGGAGCAGAGAGTCAGTGAGAAAAACACAAGGTTTTCAGTATAGCCTTGCAAATAACAAAACACTATGGGTAGCTGGTACATTTAAACAAACAGAAATAACATTGTCTTACAAAAAGAAAGGACTTTTTCATGCAGGTTACTGTGGTATTTATTTTCAAGCAACTGTAAGAAGTCCCCTTTAACAGGGAACCTTGATTTAATATGAAAAAAATATGAAAGATGAAAAGAGAAAAATTATTGATAAACTCTATGTAACTCATTATGTGACCCTTATATCCAGACACAAATGACTGTTGTCATGATTATTCTGAACTGGGTTGTGTGGTTGACACAAAAAAAAAAAGTCCTCTTTGTGTCAAAGTGACCTAAAATACGAAATGAAGTGCAACAGAGAGCCCTGACTACTCACTCTACAAGATGACAGGACTAATAGCCTGTGAAACCATAGCTCATGCAATACAAGTAGATTTGTCTTCGAGTTTGGCTGGTGAACTCAGCATAAAGCTCTCGGGCTGTTGGAACTATTGCACATCCTACCATACAGATAATTCTTGTGCACTTTATAGAGAGGATAGACAAAAAAGAACGACTTACAGGTTTGCAGTTTGTAGGTTTGCCATTCATATCAATGTCTGGAGGGTTTAGAAAATCCCAGTCACGGCCTTTGTTGTAGGTTATCAGAGTCGTAACTTTCCCATTAATTTTCTGGTTGGCCAGAAAGACTCCTTTTACACCTCTGACCTGAAGCATACAGGAGAGAAGTTAATATCCAGCACATACACATTTTTTCAACAAGGATTATCCCTGATTAGCTGCTCTTTTGTGGCTCTGAGCTGTATCTCAGGTAGTTTCTCCTGGAAACTGAATAGAAAGCTAATGATACCTTAAAAATATAAAAGGAAGGCAAAAAGACAAGAGGAAAGGGAGAAAGGGGGAAGGGGAGGACAGTTACAAACTGACTTGTATTTCTAAGTCTATTTAAAAAGTATATGCAATTCTCTCAGTGTCAAAAGGCTAAACAAATTACATAGAGTTTATACAGCAAAATACAAAAATTACCATTTCATGGCCTTACTGTTAAAATTACAGCTCTGCATTTTTTAAAATATGGACATCTCTAAAATGCTATTCTACAAATGATGTAAGCAATTTTTAACAGCCACCTGACTTTAACACTGAAGTCCTTTGACCCATGTCATGTGAATAGTACACAAATAGGTTACAACAACAAAATATCCTTTAAAATAACACTGAATTAAAAAAAAAAAGTTGAAAAAAAAAGGTTTACAGGTTCACTCTTCCCTTGGGCTGTTATTTTATTTCAAAACAGCCTGTATCATAAAATTATTACAACTCAAAGTGTCAAAGTTAATGGGGATAATTTTTAGAATCAACCTGACAGTAATTGCACCTTAATATGTTTAGTTCTAGACCTAACATTTATGTTATTAACATATTAATATATATTCCACCCAAGGGCATGAGATAAGATCTTGTATTAAAATTGAAGGTTTCCTTAAGAGTGCTCTTATTTCCCTTGTGATTACTTATGAGATCTCTTGAATTTTTAAAAAATTCTGGAAATGTGTATCAATTCATATACCATTTCCAGCACAGTAGAGCTTGTTAATCTCCTTGGGTGCTGGCACATAACAAAACCAAAGCATTCATTACAAATAAATGTACAAGATAGCCAGCTCTTTGAATGATCAGGAATGTTTGTCTCTTGATGACATTCTTGAACTTTAATTTTTTATTTGAAATATTTACTGTTCTCTTTTTTTCCAACTACCAGTTATTAACTCCACTTAACAGAAGTCTACATTCAGGGTGAAGATAAGGCATCCCTAACATCAGGCTACATATTTGATACTCACTGTTTATAAATATTGGAACTGACCCAAACCTACAGAGAATAAAAATATTCTGCTGGTTATTGTAACAGCTTAAAACTTGGAAAAATATTTAAGTTTATACAACAAAATTTTGTATAGTCATTTTAATACCCTGCTCTCTCATGATCTCCTTCTTCCTTAAACCCCATGCATATATGGTTGGCTTACTTATCCAGAATGCTGGAAGCTCAGAACTACCTCCAAGTCAAACACACCATAAAAGTCAACTACTTAGCAGTGCAGGTGAAAAAGGAAAGGAAGGGAAGAAACGAGGAACCTGCTTTCCTTACTTTAAAAGCATTTTCATCTTGCTAGGGCTTTTTTACATATTCTACCTTTGAGAAACAGCACAGCCATGAAAAGCTTGGCAGTTCAAACATTTACGTGGGAAGGCAGACTTGGGGTAAAAATTCTATGTGTGTCTTTCTTCCAGTGAACACAATATTAAATATTTAAACAATAATTAGGTCAGGGACTGCAGCTGATGTTTCCCTCTTCATTTATGGATGGCAAAAACAGTGCTGCATCATGAATACTTTTGTTTCCTCTCTCTCTTTCCCCCCCCCCCCATTCTTGTTTAATGAATATTTAATCATTCAATGTAATCATCAAATGAGAGTCAGGCTAAAATTTTCTCCATTCTCACTCTCATCTCTAATCTAACCAAGCTCTAGGGTAACTTCTCCTCTCTAGAATATGGGACATAAGTGTTTGAATCTATCAAACATTGAAAGGTTATGAAAACATTTCTTCTAGTGTCTCAGTTAACTTCTCTCACTGCTGTTTTAAAAGATAAAAGCTGACCAGCACTTCACAGCAGTTGTATTTTGAATGAAAGGCAAAAACTCTGCTTGAAATAATAAATAGGTTTCAGGTATCCATTTTCCGAGCAAGTTCAGAAGTATGATGTTCAGAGTGGTGCATTAGCCTAAAAACCAATAACTAATATAAAATTATACCATGTAAAAAATGGCAGCTTTAAAACACCTCACTTCTGCTGTAGCACTTTCTATTTCATTTGTCCTGTGGCCTATGCAAATACACACCTGACTCTTTCTGTAAATATTGTAAGTGCTTTATGTCAGATCTATCTTCTGCATTAGATTGTGATCCCAATGCACCCAATTTCTTCTGTACTTTCTACTCCTTGACTCAGTTCCCTAATCTAAAATTGGGAGATTAGTATCTTCCTATGAAGAAGGGAAAAGATTAACAATAAGATGGTATGGAAAAGAAGACATTACAACATTGTGCAGTGCTCAGTTACTCTGATGAACACTCCAGCAGCTACTCAAGACAGATAATCACAAGAAAATTCAAAAGCACCTTTCCATTGATTTTCTTTGGACTTTCAGAGCACCTATTTTCTACAACACCTTATAAACCTATTTTCTGACCAGGTTTTCTGCTGTGACACTGTGACACATTAATCGCTGATTGTTACATTTCTGATTTTACAGCCAAACAATATTCTGTACTAGTTGGTAGCAAGAAGAACAGTTCAGATGGCCCCACAGAGTTTATTAGCCGCAGTTACTGAAATGCAGAAATTACTGCTATATAATACATATTTGTGATTAAACTTTAAATATATATGATTTGTTGTTTGGGGAAAAAAGGCATGAAGAATGTCTACTGCAACTTGTGTAGCTCTTACCTATATGAGGAGTCACAGCAAGAACAAATCTAGAAGTATACAATAGTATACCCATTCTGCAAATTTTTGACTGGTTCACATCGGCAACACTAGATATAATTTCAAGGACATGCCCCTTGCATACAGTCACATATTTCAAGGGCATGCTCCTTTTGGTCAGTCAATTAATACTTAACTTTTTTTTGGTTAAGTATTTGGGAATTATTCCCCTTTCACACATGCAATGTGAAAAGAAATACGGTGCAAAAAAGATAAAGCATATAAAAGAAAATGAATACAGAGAGGCAGACACCTATTAAAGATTTTATAGCAGATGTACAAGTAAAAGATGAAGTGGGGTCAGCAGAGGATAACGAAGATGAACAGTGCAAATTTTAAGGAGAATTATACACTAGTGGAAAGAGAAATTGTCAGCCATTGTAACCCAGATTAGACCAAAAAATATCCCATCCTCAAGGACTGCAATATGTGTTCTATTTATTAGCCTTTATACTGGGTATATAACCCATACATCATGAGTACTTGATCACATTCTAGTAAACAAGATGAACACTAATTATTTATCATACAAGCTCTCTGGAAGCTGTGGGCTTTCTTACTGTATGCAAATAAAAGTGTTCTCCTATACTGTAGCTCTATTTCAAAAACAGCTCAAAAAAATTGAATTGTGTGGCTTCATTGTGGCTCCTTCAATTACTCTTTCTCATGTGTAAATTTTCTTTTTAATGTAGCCCTACAAATTGATCCAGCACACACAATAATCTAGGATCACATTATCTAATATGCCTTCGGTAACATTTGGAAATTACGAAATAATCAGTGTAACTGAATTAAGTTAATAACTTTTGTAGACAAAAGGACAGCCAGGGGTAGCATCTCTGTACAACTTATCTGAAATTGCATGCTACAGGTGATGCAAGGAGTAGAGTTTGCACCTTTTAGCCTTTTAGCTTTGCATCCCACAGGAGTGAGCAGGAGTAAAAGGCTGCAAACTAATGCTGCCAATAAATCACTCTGTGGGAATGTGGCTACACACCGTGTGTAGCTTCACTCATTAGGAAGCCTCATTTCTAAAAAAGGTAGAGCCTAGAAAATAATCATTGGTAATGAGAAACCTGATAGTTTTACTACAGATATTTAGAAACAAAAGGTGAAAGAAAGATGGAGGAGATAAGGAGGAAAAAATCACTATCATTTTCCCTCACCAAGAAGAGTCTAATTACAGCTATTTAAGAGTTCTGTCAGTGTGTGCCTTGTATCCAGAATTACTACAAACTTTTGCCAAAGAGCTTTGGTTGCTGTTTTGTTTGTTTGTTTGTTTTGTTTTGTTTTTATATTAACACCAGGCAGATTAAAGTGTAATGAGGGACAAACTGGGTCAGACCAAAGCTCCACTAGTTTAATATTCTGATAACAGCCAATACTATGTGCTACACGAAAGAACAGAACCAGAGCAAATGTACACCCTATTACATTGAAATACATTACACTGAAATTCCATTCTATCAGCAGGAATGGAGTTGATAACAGTCTGTAGTACTCTTCCAAAACACTATATTCTTTAGTCTTTTATTTTTGCCAAGTGCACTGATGTTAAAATACAAGATAAATTTGTTTACAGAAGAGTCTGTCTCACAGAAAATGCTGTTGGCACAAGACACCTACTGAAAGCAAGTGGATTTGCTGCCCAATATCTAATTTTGTTGGTTCTTCGCCTTTCAGAGCTGACACAACCTAGCACAAGGCTCACAGGATTACTATGTAAAACCCTACTGGCTAAAGGATGTCCTGCTCTAAACCAGGCAATGCATCACTGAGTCACCTAAAAGAAAAAAAGGTGTACACAGGTAGCTGCATAACTTCTGACTTCAATAATAAATTGTGCTGCTGTCTTCACTTTTCAATAACTTAAAAAAAAAAGAATTTGGACTTGGACATCTATGGAATCTCATCCCAAGAATCTAGTTCTTAGAGTACACAGCACATCAGTAGGGTAAGAGGGAAACAACTAAGTAGTAATGAGGTGCTAACAATAAGAAAAAAATCCTAGATTTTTTACATTAAATATAACTGAAAATTAATTATACTCATAATCGAAATATTAATAAACATCTCCTTCAAATAGACTACACACAAGGGAAGAGGTAAAGATCTACCTCCAGGATATCTATCAGGACATTCTCTTCTGGCTGCTTCGTGCTCCGGACGTTCTCCAGCAGGATAGAGTAGTAAACACCTTGTGGGTCAGACTGGTACAGGTTGTATGTGTCTGTCTGGTACCACTCCTGAACAGCCACAAAAACTTGGTTTTCATCTGTACTGATTATTTGTAAATCCTGTAGGAAAATAAGATACAAAAGTACTAATTTTTCCATCATTTCTATTTTACAAACAATAACTTGGGCAGGAGAAGGGAAACATCAGAACATTTAATAACAATAACCTCCTAATACAATACTAATTAACATACTATATCCCATTGTTCCAAGGGAGCTCCGTTGCTCACTGCCTTTTGACTGCAGCGCAAACCAGCCTAGTAAAGACCAAAATCGTGAATGTGCAAAAGCTGAGATCTGCTTTGACTTAAGTGGGAAATGACTTCTTGAAAAGAAGGAAAAAAAAGGAAAGGAAAAAAAGAAGTGAACGACTGAAACAACATTAACACAGCTAATCTATCAAATAATCCTCAGGTATCTAGAGAAATAAGAACTAGATAAAAAATAGCGTAACCCAAAGAGGATCAGATATAATTTACAACAGCTACACATAGGAAGTAGTGCATATCATGCACACAGCTCATGTGTATTATATATAGTACATAACAGTAATTTATCTATGTACGTAAAACCACTTAAATATTCAACAGCAATAACATGAGAGTCAATATTCTGCATTCATTACCCAAGAATTTGAGGCATGGATTTTACAACAGCTTGCTTTCAGTTTTCCCAGCTTCTTCACTCCAAACATCTCATACAAAAAAATGCACAGCTGGGTAAAACAATTTAACACTAACATTAAACAGAAGAAATAAATCAGGAAGTAGCAACACTGTACTAAGCTTAGCAAACAGAATAAAAGGATGTGAGTTTGCAACAGAATATGGTAGCATAAGGGCAGATGTTGGGATGACATAAGAAATAATATCTAGTCACAGAAACTGAAAGCTTGTAAGCTCTTTATGACCTTGGTACTTAACTGGGATACTGTATCCAGTTCTGGTCACCTTATTAGAGGAAAAATACTAAGGCAATGGAGTGAATATTAAATAAAGCTACCAAAATGTCAAGAGAATATGAGTTTGGGATGAATTTGCTTTAAAAAATTAAAATAAAGCAAGAAAACTACTTTGTAGAATTCTAAGAGAGAAATAAACCAAATTCTTAAGAATCCAGTAAGACTGAAGAAAATGTGAGTAACAGAGCAACACTGAATACTCACCAAAGCGTGGCAGTCACACTTTAGGAAACATGCATGATGTGACTGAGGCACTTAGATTAAAAAAAAAAACATGAATAGAAGTAAAATAATACAATGGAAAGATTTTTAATAAGAACAGAAGATGGTTATTAAACACTAATAATGCAATTAAATTTAAAGTACTTTTGCATGTGTGACACATCTCAACACAAAAGAACGTAAGTGAAGTTTTCCATCAATGACAGCTCAATGCTGTTTTTAAAGACTTTCATGTTGAACTATGTACTAAAGTAGATTTTTGTTTAGCATTCCATGAGTAGTTCTCTTTTTTCTTGTTCTCAAAAATTACTCGGAAGCAGAAAGTCTGGCAGAATTGCCAGTAAAACACAGCAACTGCTCCCAAAAGGTTATTTTAAAAGCCTCTTAAATGTACAGAATATTTCATCTCCTGTCTTAAACCAGGACAACATGAAGCTTGGTAGCCCACACTACACCACACCACATTCTGTACTAAATTCACCTCTTCTTTTGCAGTGTAAGGAAAGTTCCCATGATTATCTGATAATAAAGATGGAAATGAAGCAGAATCAAAAAGAATACAGAAAGAGTTGAGGGGTTTTGTGTGAAAACCTCTAGAAAACCCTTAACCACCTGTGAAGTCAGGAGCTTTCAGAAAAATTATTATCTACATTATTATAATAAAACATTTATACAGTGCCACAGACAAATGCAAAACTCCAGGGGTGGCAGTGGATGCAAGGGTGGCTCATGGTGGCAGAGGTGAGAGCTGGGGGATGGGCGCAGCTGCGGGTCTCCTCTGCCAGGGTGGGGTAGGAGCAGCCAAGCCATCAGAAGCAAGGTGCAAAGAGCCAAAACATGTAGTGCACAAGGACAGGAAGATTCATTTTGGGCAGATTGTAGGGGTCAGGTGAAGAAAGGAGGGGTTGGACTGCAGAAGTTTACTGCATCACTTTTCTCTTGGTAGTGACTTACCAATAAAGAAGTTTGTCTGCTCAGACTGCTGGATGCCAGCTTTGCTGAGGCAAGACCTTAAGAGATCCTGGTTTTAGCAAGTGAAATTGCCCTTGCACTGCCTTGAACTTTATTCCTTCCATTCAGAATTTACACTTCAGATTTCCAGTTCAGCCTTACAGCTCTTTTCCTTTCACAGTGATTTCTTTTCCTTCAAGAAGCAAAGCAGTCCTTCAGTTATACTACCTTGCAACAATCCTGCCCAGCATTTTCTGACATGATCCTCTGGGAAAAGTAATTGACGATCTAAGAAAAACTGCAAATTTCATGTCCAATTCTTAAACTTATGTTTCAAACTCCTGGATGACATAGACTGCTGAAAATCAAGCTAAAACAAAGCTAAATGGTCATGTCAATCTTGTACTATTCCTGTACCAAAGGATGAATTTAAAAAGAAGAAGAAGAAATTGATTGACAAATACAGGGAATGAGTCGTCAGTGTGCCAAGTCCAACCCTTCATCCCAGCTACCCACTCGGTAGAACAGATGAGAAGCACATAAAGAGGGGACATCAGCCAATATTGCTAGACAGAATTTACTGTCACTGAAGAGTTAACTAGAAAGGACATCTGAGAAAAAAAAAAAGAAATACCTTGATGGAGGGAATGCAAGTTTTTATTGCTTTATCTAATTCACGGACACAGATACAACCTCAGGCTGTAACCTCAGCAGGTTCTATAAGGAAAGCATTTATTCTTTTATGATTTCACGCTTGGACTACTGCAATTGCCTTCTTGCTGGCCCTCCTGCTTTCTCTCTCCACATTCTGCAGGCTACTCAAAGTCTCACTGATCATCTAATTTTTCTATAATTATGCTATTCACACACAATTTATTCAGTCATTTATAAAGACCTTCTTTACTGATGTTAGAGATCTTCTGGATTTGAAACATTCCTTATTGCCTCTATGGAGATTTTTGTTTATCTCCAGGCTGCATTTTTGTATACATTCAGTGTTTGAGCTCTTGTACTTTCCTCTCCTTTCCAAGTTCAAATGAGAGTCCATACCCTTCCAGATGTCCCAAGGAAAAATCCTTTTCCCAATTTGCCATAGAAGCCATGCAGTTTCCTCTGTGGCATGCTCATTCCTCCATGGACATCCCTTCTCTAACCTCCACTACTTTACTTTTGTCTTACCAAGTCTGCCATGCCTGCTCTGTTCCATGTTTTACTGGCCCAGCTGTCCATGCTCTTGCCATTTGCACATTTCTCTCTCTCTGTTTTTGCAAAGATCACAACAATAGACTATGATTCCCAAATACTAGTATTCTCCATTGACTTTATCTCCTCTTCTTAGGTTGTAAGCTTTTGTACAGTTGTGACATGCTACTTACAAGCTGTATCGTCCAAATCTTTTTTTTTTTTAACCTCTAAGCCCCCATGAGATTTCTCTGTTCTGTTTATTATGGTGCTTCTTGTGCACTGTATTTTTCAAATTCCTTTGTCACAATGTTTCCTTCATCCTTCTCTCTTCATTGGGTTACGTTATACCACACAAAGCACAGAAATCTGTATGTTTATCACTAAAAATCTGTGGAACAACTCATAGGTCCAAGGCAGTAGACAGACCCAGGGCCAGGGATAGGTCCACCTATAGATGCAACCAAAGAAACCTGCAAAGTGCTCTAAAATCCACTATCCAGTCAAGTCCACAGAATCATTTCCCTGTGGTTGGATGAGAGTAGCTGGAAAACAGTCCTTAAATACTGTAAACAAACACCCCAAGAAAAGCGGGACTAAATGTCTTCTGAGTCTACTTGGAGTTAAATTCTGGGTATAAACTACATCTAAGGAGATACAGGTTAGACATGAGAATACCATTGTCTAGTAGGGTCTGGTCATACACACTGAGGAAAAACGTTAAGAGAGGTAAAGTAACGTTCATTCTTGGACTTTTTAAAAACAGATTAGAAAAACATATGCCAGGACTGGTTTAGGCAGATAACCATGCTTTGGTAAAAGACCTTTCAAGATCTTTTCCATGTCTATTGTCTATGATCCTGTGAAAACAGAGGGAAGTAAAACTTATACTTTACTGATATTACTTGAAATGTTACACATACAATTAGAAATATCACTAAAAGACAGGATTTGGGGGTTTGGGTTTTGTTTTTGAGGGTTTATTTGCTGGTTTGGGTTGGTTTTTTGTGTTTGTTGTTGTTGGTTGGTTGTGGTTTCGTTTTTCAATTCAAGAGCTAAAATTTCATAACTATGTTAAAGAGAGTAAGCATTTTCCAGACAAATAACTATTTCAGTTTGATAATGGAATTAGAATTAAGGACAGCTGGAGATCTGTTGAATCAGAATTACTTTTCTATAAAAAATGCTAAATGAATCATGAAAGTGATCAAAGACTGCATATTAAAAATTGGCATCATTAAACAAGGCATCCAGTGACAAGTCATATCACTCCTGCTCTCTCAGGGACTTATAAGCTGCTATGTTTGTACCTTACATCAGTAGCAGAAAACATAATTAACAAACAAATAAACACAAAGACAGTTTCAAAGTGATACTGAAAATAATTAGATAAATACATAAGGCCAACTTGTGCCAAAAGATGAGCACCACTTCAAAGAAACTTCATATCACATGGGTAGACCTGTTCTGTTAGATAAAATAAATGAGTCTGAGGGTGTACACACGGCATTGAATGAACTATGTATATTCACCCATGACCTGGAGAACAAGCATCCAAGAACTCTTCCAGCAAGTACAGAGCCACAATCAAATTTTACTTCTAGAAAACACACATACTGCTTAAGAATAATTTCTTTAGTTCTTTAGTTCTAACAAACATGATCAGTCTTTCCAAAACTATCTGCTTTTAATGCAGTCAAGTCTGTTTTCACAGAAGGTTGAACGAACACACAATCAAAAGTTA